AAACTCCTCCTCGGATTGTTGGCCTTAGAATCTTCTCCCCTTAGTCCAGAGCCATCCCAGCAAGCTTGCAACACTTCCAATGCTGCTGCTCAACCAGCCTCTTGGTCATCATATCAGCAGGCTTCGCCGTCATCTTCACGTAGTGTAATTCCACTTCACGTGAGGTTATCATGCTCCTCACCCAATGCCATTTTACCTTTATCTGCTTGGTAAGGCCATGGAGTACGGGGTTCTTAGCTAATACAACAGCACCCTGGCTATCACAACAGAGTAGGGTAGGTCCTTGCTGCTCCTCCCCCAATTCAGCTAGCAAACGCCGCTGCCACACAACCTCTCTTATGGCACGGAAGAGTGCCATGTACTCAGACTCCACCGAGCTCAATGCTTGGTCCACTTGTTTCTTGCTCTCCCAAGCTGTTGGCCCTCCACCAACACAGCAGATGAAGCCTCGCACACTTGTCATGTCCTCTGGTTCTGATGCCCAAGATGCATCAGAGAAGCCGGTGAGAAAGAGCCTCCCGGGTTCGTCTCCATCCGCACCCTTTTGACGCCTTTGTGTCGCCGCGGAGTATTGCAGTCCAATTGTTGCTGTTTGGCCAAGGTACTTGGCCACTCTCTCTCCAGCTGCTACCTGCTTTTCATTAGGGCATTTGACAACCCTAGCTAGCTGCCCGGTAGCAAAGGCTGCATCAGGCCTTGTGTGAACGGCTGCATACATGAGGCTGCCCACCAAGTAATGAAAACGGCGCCTCTCCTCTTCACCAACACTTTCCTCCGCTGGTCCTTTCATACACTTGAACCCCGAGGGTAGAGGAGTAGTCACATGACCTTCACTCTTCCCAATGTTTGCAGCCAAGGCCTCCATGTAGTTCTTTTGATGCACTCGCATCCACCGCTTCTCCACATCTCGCTCAATGTGAAGCCCAAGGTAGTAGTTGACGTCACCAAGGGTCTTGCACTTGAACTTGTCTTGAAGCTTCAGCATCACCTCCTTCACAAGGTCAGAGGATGGTGAGAATATGAGGATGTCATCCACATAAACCACCATGAAGCTCATCTGCTCCCCCTTGCCAAGCATGAACAACGATTGACCGGCCGTTGAGGGAGTGAAGCCGATCGCCCCCAAGACTTCCCGCAGCTTGATGTACCATTGCCTAGGGGCTTGCTTGAGGCCATAGAGTGCTTTCTTCAGCTTTCACACTTTGCCACTCCCATCATTGTACCCCTTTGGCTGCTCCATGTAGGTCTCTTCCTCCAAAACTCCGTTGAGGAAGGCCGTTACGCTATCCATTTGCTTCACCTCCCATCCTTTGATGGCTGCCGCGGTGAAGAGAGTTTGAAGGGTTGTACCCTTCACCAGAGGAGCATATATTTCATTGTAGTCATTCTTGTCCAGCAGCTGGTACCCATTCGCTACAAGTCTGCTCTTGTAGCGCTCAATGTTGCTATCGGCATTGGTCTTGCGCTTGAAGAGCCACTTGAAAGAGATCGCCTTCCGCCCCGGAGGTAGGTTCACCAAGTCAAATGTGTCGTTCTCTATGATGCTCCCCATTTCTTCATCTGAGGCCTTCTTCCACTCCTTCCCATTGGGGCCCTCCAAAGCCTCCTTGGGATTTGTGGGCTCCCCTGGCATCTTCACCTGAGAGAAGAAGGCAAAAGCGCACTCCTCGCTTTCATCTTCCGCATCATTGCCTAGCATGAGAGCCGAACCGGTCAAGGTTGAGTTGGGTGGTGCTCCAAGCCGGTCATTCGAGTGAAGATATCCACAATGGTGAAGAATTACTCTGCTCCAGCAGCTCCAAGATTCAAGGGGCCCACCACATCCATCACCACCTCATCAAGTGGTGCCTTCGCCATTGTCTCCGAGCTATGGAACGGGTAGCGGGTGAACTTGGCTTGCATGCATGTTGGACAGCCAAGCACCTCATTGGACTCCCCCTTGACACGTATCCCACTGACCATCTCTTGCATAACTATCTGCTGCAAAATGGGCAATGCCACATGCCCCATTCGCCGATGCAAGGTCAGCCAATCACACTCTCCCGTAGCGGAAGTCGGGTTGGAGAAAGCGGCACTCGCAATTGTGCCCCACAAGCTCTCTCCTTTCTCCTTTGCCGCTGCTGCTTTGCTGATCTTAGCCTTTTCCTCCTCATGTCCACCATCTTTAGCTGCTGCACCACTCTCCTTGGGTTCACACGCCTTGCTGGTCTCTCCAACATTGCACTCCATCGAGCCACTCTTGGTGTCACTTTGCTTTCCGTGATCACCGCCACCAACCGCTTCACTCTTGGTGCTGACACTTGCTGCCACTTGCCTCTCCTTAGGCATGGGGACCACTGGGATTTGCCACATCTCATTGTAGATGTCCCTGACCTGATGAAGGTCCCGAAGCTTCCGCTCACCAAGCCTCGCGGTATAGGTTTTGGATCCCTTGGAAGATGTGTCCATGCCGGCCTTTTGCAAACGCCGCACAGAAATCAGGTTAGCTGGAACGATGGGCACCAAAAGCACGTTCTTGAGGCCCACCATCTTCCCATCAGCACCCTTGAACATGGCCTTGCCCATGCCTTTCACCTCTGCTCGCTGCCCCAAAGCCGATGTAACATGCTTGACCGGCGACGGTTCGAGTTCGGTGAGCAAGTCCGCACGAGGTGTCATGCTATAGGTGGCACCGCTATCAATCATCCAAATATCCAGAGAGTGAAGGGTGACCTTTCCCACAGTAGTTGGCTCCTCAAAGCCTTCCACACCTCCTGCTGCAGCTGCCGCTTGCATGGAGACAAAGAAGAATTGGCCCGGGTATCGATCTTCACTCGGGCCTGTCTCGTAGTCTCCACCTTTCATGCTTGCCGCTTCACTTCCACGACCACCACGGCCTCCACGACCTCTGCGTCTTCCTCCCCTTGCTCCTCTGCCCTCTTGGCCATAAGAAGGGGTCCATCCATGAGGCAATTTGAAGCAATCTCTCCACATCTGGCCGGTCTTGTGGCCAAAGTGACATTCACTGTCAAATCGAGTGCGCCCACGCCCGTAGCCATTATTGTTGTTGTTGTTGCCATACCCTCCATAACCACGGCCTCCATTGAAGTAGCTGCTTCCAAATCTGCCTCCTCGCCCTCTGCCCCTTCCACGGCCGTGCCCACGGCCCATGCTTGCAACTCCGGCACCATCGGGACCCGCCAATTCGCAACGACGGAAATCTTCTTGTAAGATTTCCCGCTTCACATCTTCGAGCGAGAGGCGGGGCAGATGTTGATTAAGGTTGATGATGAGTGAGGACCATGAGTCTGAAAGTAAGACCAGCAGCTTGTTCTTGTTTTGAAGGTCACTGTAGTGCAGGTCAGCTCTTTCGAGCCCTATCAACAAGTCGAAGAATTTCTGCACTCCTTCCTCCACTAGTTCGCCTTCGTCAATTCGAAGTGCCGCCATTTACCGCTCCAAAACCACAGCAACCGCTGCTGTTGCAGGAGTGTGTACACCATTGAGATTAGCCCATGGTCCCTTTGCTGGTTCACGCTGAAATGACTTGATGTGACGGATTTGGCTGCTCCCCAACGCTTGCCCATGTAGAAGGTAGCGTTGTGCACTCTTCCGCACCCACGGGCTCTTCTCCGGGTCGTTCTCGGGGCGCTTGTCCGTTCCTTCCATCACCTCCAGCAGATCATAGGGGTCAAATATGTTCTCCATCTTGAAGGACCACTCAGCAAACTTGTCAAGGCCAAACACTCTAGGCTCGTCCGTAGAGGGGTCAGGGCTTGGTTGCACGGGAGCACCGGGTGGATCTTGGTGTTGACCTTGTGCTTGGGCATCATCTCTGCCTCCAGCACCTCTCGCACCCCCTTCCTCAGATCTAGGCATGGTCGAAATGGCTCCAAGGGGCTCTGATACCAAATGTTATAATCACAGTAGGCTTAGATGTGCCTAAAATGAGCAATGGAGTGCACAGTCAGATTTCCGTCAGACGGCTTCAAATACTAATACCGTTATGATCTTTCGTCCAAACGGTGAACTGTAAATTGGAAATGGAGCACGATATTGTCTCCTATTAGCCGCAAGTTGAATCATAAAATTCCATCAAGATTTGATGACTCTATGGCCGTTTGATGGGCAGGAGGTATAGCAGCCACTATAGTCTTAGAAGTACAAGCTTAGCAAGACGAATCGAGATTGAGATGGTTCTCAGCCTGTACAAGCCCCAAGAGCTGAGGTCCATGTTGGTGGTACACCACCACAGAGTCACCAACCATGAAGGGACTCGAATCAAACCCAACAAGGGGCTGCACCAAGTGAAATGTAACACTACATAAAGTAGCATTACTATTGTCACAAATTAAATGTTTATCCACTTCGCTTGGGCTTGAAATCTTGAGCTCTTGGTCTTGGTTCTGCAAGATAAACTCTCCTTGAGTTGATGAGGGTTTGCTGCACACACCTGCGACACGATGGACACTTCACACTCGACAAAATAGAAAAAACACATGCGACACACAAACGACGACTTGACATGCGAGTTGTAAAAACTCGCTAATGTCTTGACCGACACAAACCACATTGTGATACACCATTCAAACATTCACACAAGCACTGGATAGCAATGACATAGACTCACAATTCATTCCATGCCATGCATGCACACACACAAACAAGGACGACAAGCCGATTGCAAGCCATAGGATTGCACCAACAAACTCCCCCTCGGATTGTTGGCCTTAGAATCCGCTCCCCTTAGTTCAGAGCCATCCCAGCAAGCTTGCAACACTTCCAATGCAGCTGCTCAACCAGCCTCTTGGTCATCATATCAGCAGGCTGCGCCGTCGTCTTCACATAGTGCAACTCCACTTCACCCGCGGTGACCATGCTCCTCACCCAATGCCACTTCACCTTCATGTGCTTGGTAAGGCCATGAAGAACGGGGTTCTTTGCCAATGCAATAGCACCCTGGCTATCACAGTAGAGTGGGGTAGGTCCTTGCTGCTCCTCCCCTAATTCAGCTAGCAAACGCCGCTGCCACACAACCTCTCTTATGGCACGGAGGAGTGCCATGTACTCGGACTCCACCGAGCTCAATGCTTGGTCCACTTGTTTCTTGCTCTCCCAAGCTGTTGGTCCTCCAATAACACAGCAGATGAAGCCTCCCATACTTATCATGTCCTCTGGTTCTGATGCCCAAGATGCATCAGAGAAGCCGGTGAGAAAGAGCCTCCCGGGTTCGTCTCCATCCGCACCCTTTTGACGCCTTTGTGCCGCCGCGGAGTATTGCAGTCCAACAGTTGCTGTTTGGCCAAGATACTTGGCCACTCTCTCTCCAGCTGCTACCTGCTCTTCATTAGGGCATTGGACAACCCTAGCCAGCTGCCCGGTAACAAAGGCTGCATCTGGCCTTGTGTGAACGGCCGCATACATCAGGCTGCCCACCAAGGAGTGAAAACGGCACCTCTCCTCTTCACCAACACATTCCTCCGCTGGTCCTTTTACACACTTGAAACCTGAGGGAAGAGGAGTAGCCACATGAACTTCACTCTTCCCAAAGTTGGCAGTCAAGGCCTCCACGTACTTCTTTTGATGCACTCGCATCCACCGCTTCTCCACATCTCGCTCAATGTGAAGCCCAAGATAGTAGTTGACGTCACCAAGGGTCTTGCACTTGAACTTGTCTTGAAGCTTCAGCATCACCTCCTTCACAAGGTCAGAGGAGGGTGAGAATATGAGGATGTCATCCACATAAACCACCATGAAGCTCCTCTGCTCCCCCTCGCCAAGCATGAACAACGATTGACCGGCCGTTGAGGGAGTGAAGCCGATCGCCTCCAAGACTTCCCGCAGCTTGATGTACCATTGCCTAAGGGCTTGCTTGAGGCCATAGAGTGCTTTCTTCAGCTTCCACACTCTGCCACTCCCATCATTGTACTCCTCTGGCTGCTCCATGAAGGTCTCTTCCTCCAAAACGCCGTTGAGGAAAGCCGTTACTATATCCATTTGGTTCACCACCCATCCTTTGATGGCCGCCGCGGCGAAGAGGGTTCGAAGGGTTGTACCCTTCACCAGAGGAGCATATATTTCATTGTAGTCCTTCTTCTCTTGCTGCTGATACCCCTTGGCTACAAGTCTGCTCTTGTAGCGCTCGATGTTGACGTCGGCATCGGTCTTGCGCTTGAAGAGCCACTTGGAAGAGATCGCCTTCCGCTCCGGAGGTAGATTCACCAAGTCAAATGTGTCGTTCTCTATGATGCTCCCCATTTCTTCATCTGAGGCCTTCTTCCACTCCTTCCCATTGGGGCCCTCCCAAGCCTCCTTGGGATTTGTAGGCTCCCCCGGCATCTCCACTGGAGTGAAGAAGGCAAAGGCACACTCCTCGCTTTCATCTTCCGCATCATTGCCTAGCATGAGAGCCGAACCGGTCAAGGTTGAGTTGGTTGGTCCTCCAAGCCAGTCATAGCTCAACCTTTTGGGGGGCTGAGTCTTCCTTCTCCCCCTTCCTTCCTCCTCTGCTGCAGGGACTTGAATGCTCTCATGGCGTTGCGGTAAATCTGGTCGGTTCCCACGAGCACTTGTAGGCAGAAGCGGAAGTGACGGTGCACGCTCATCATCTTGCTGCACCTCCTCCTCCTCCTCAGCCCCATTCATTTGAGGAGATTGCCTCGTGACTGTACTGCTGCTACTCAGCTCCAAGGGCAGCTCCACATGCTCCAAGCCGTTACTCTTCACCTCTCCAAGCCGCACACCAATCTTCGCTTGGTTCTCCGCCTTCCACTCCTTGTACGGTAAGTTCTCCATGAACTTGCAATCTCTGCTCACCAAGAACTTCTTGGTAAATGGGTCCCAAAGAAGCCATCCCTTGCTGTTTTGAGCCATGCCCAGGTGCACGGCCCATGTTGCCTTGGCATCAAGCTTGTTGTGCCGAAGTTTCTTAGGCACAAGTGCCATGCACATGCACCCGAACACCCGAAGCATATCCACCTTCGGTTTTCTTCCAATCCACTCCACATAGGGCACCCATTTGTCTTCTCCCACGTGAGTCAAGGCTCTGTTCTTGGCCACACAAGCATGCCGCACCGCATCCGGCCAAAAGTAATTGGGTAGACCGGCTTCAATGAGAAGTCCCCGAGCCGTCTCCGTGAGTGTCCGATTTGCACTTCACAAGCCGGTCTTGTTGCCGCTCCACCATCGGCAACCAATCGGTCTTCACCGTTTCAGCTACATCACCCTTCTTGGGCAGCACATACACCCAGGTCATGCGAGTGTAGATGTCCACAATGGTGAGGAAGTACTCAGCTCCAGCAGCTCCAAGCTTCAAGGGGCCCACCACATCCATCACCACCTCATCAAGTGGTGCCTTCGCCGTTGTCTCTGAGCTATGGAACGGGTAGCGGGTGAACTTGGCTTGCATGCATGTTGGACAGCCAAGCACCTCATTGGGCTCCTCCTTGACACGTATCTCACTGACCATCTCTTGCTTAACTATCTGCTGCAAAATGGGCAATGCCACATGCCCCATTCGCCGATGCAAGGTCAGCCAATCACACTCTCCCGTAGCGGAAGTCGGGTTGGAGAAAGCGGCACTCGCAATCGTGCCCGCTCTCTCCTTTCTCCTTCGCCGCTGCTGCTTTGCTGATCTTAGGATTCTCCTCCTCATTTCCACCACCTTTGGCTGCTGCACCACTCTCCTTGGGTTCACACGCCTTGCTGGTCTCTCCAAGGTTGCATTCCTTCAAGTCACTCTTGGTGTCACTTTGCTTTCCGTGATCACAGCCACCAACCGCTTCACTCTTGGTGCTGACGCTTGCTGCCACTTGCCTCCCCTTAGGCATGGGGACCACTGGGATTTGCCACATCTCATTGTACATGTCCCTGTCCTCATGAATGTCCCAAAGCTTCCGCTCACCAAGCCTCGCGGTATATGTTTTGGAACCCTTGGAAGATGTGTCCATGCCGGCCTTTTGCAAACGCCGAACGGAGATCAGGTTGGCTGCTAGGTTGGGCACCTAAAGCACGTTCTTGAGGCCCACCATCTTCCCATCAGCATCCTTGAACATGGCCTTGCCCATGCCTTTCACCTCTGCTCGCTGCCCCAAAGCCGATGTAACATGCTTGACCGGCGACGGTTCGAGTTCGGTGAGCAAGTCCGCACGAGGTGTCATGCTATAGGTGGCGCCGCTGTTGATCACCCAAAAGTCCAGAGAGTGAAGAGTGACCTTTCCCACAGTAGCTGGCTTGTCAAAGCCTTCTATAGCTCCTGTTGCTACTGCCGCTTGCGTGGAGACAAAGAAGAATTGGCCCGGGTATCGATCTTCACTCGGGCCCGTCTCGTAGTCTCCACCTTTCATGCTTGCCGCTTCGCTTCCACGACCACCACGGCCTCCACGACCTCTGCGTCTTCCTCCCCTTGCTCCTCTGCCCTCTTGGCCTTGAGAAGGGGTCCAACCATCAGGCAATTTGAAGCAATCTCTCCACATGTGGCCGGTCTTGTGGCAAAAGTGGCATGCGCAATTTGAAGCCACTGTTGTTGTTGTTGCTGCCATATCCTCCATTACCACGGCCTCCATTGAAGTAGCTGCTGCAAAATCTGCCTCCTCGCCCTCTGCCTCTTCCACGGCCGTGCCCACGGCCCATGCTTGCAACTCCGGCACCATCGGGACCCGCCAATTCACGACGGCGGAAATCTTCTTGCAAGATTTCCCGCTTCACATCTTCGAGCGAGAGGCGGGGCAGATCTCGATTTAGGTTGATAATGTGCGAGGACCATGAGTCTGAAAGTAAGGCCAGCAGCTTGGTCTTCTTTTGAAGGTCACTGTAGTTCAGCTCAGCTCTTTCGAGCCCTATCAACAAGTCGAAGAATTTCTGCACTCCTTCCTCCACCGGTTCGTCTTCGTCAATTCTAAGTGCCGCCATTTGCCGCTCCAAAACCACAGCCACCGCCGCTGTTGCAGGAGCGTGTACACCCTTGAGAGCAGCCCATGCCTTTGGTCCCTTTGCTGGTTCACGCTGAAAAGGCTTGATGTGACGGATTTGGCTGCTCCCCAACGCTTGCCCAACTAGAAGATAGCCTTGTGCGCTCTTCCGCACCCACGGGCTCTTCTCCGGGTCGTTCTCGGGGCGCTTGTCCGTTCCTTCCATCACCTCCAGCAGATCATAGTGGTCAAAGATGTTCTCCATTTTGCAGGACCACTCAGCGAAGTTATCACCGTTGACCTTGTCAAGGCCAAAAACTCTAGGCTCATCCCTAGAGGGGGCCAAGGCTAGGTTGCACGGGAGCAATGGGTGGATCTTGGTGTTGGCCTTGTACTTGGGCGTGTTCTCTGCCTCCAGCACCTCTGCCAACTGCTTCCCCAGATCTAGGCATGGTCGAAATGGCTCCAAGGGGCTCTGATACCACTTGTTATAATCACAATAGGATCAGATGTGCCTAAAATGAGAGAAATTCAGGACAGTCAGAATTCCGTCAGACAGCTTCAAAACTTGATGGTGATCTGATCTGTACGTCAAACGGTGATCTGTAAATTGGATATGGAGCGCGTTGCTGTCCCATATCAGCAGCAAGTTGAATCATCAAATTTCATCAAGATTTGACGACGCTATAGCGGTTTGACTGGCAGGAGGTACAGCAGCCACTATAGTCTTAGGAGTACAAACTTAGCAAGAAGAGTTCGAGAGGGAGATGGTTCCCAGCCTCTACATACCCCAAAAACCGAGGTCCAGGTTGGTGGTACACCACCACAGAGTCCCCAACCATGAAGAGTCTCGAAACCAACCCTCCAAGGGGCTACACCAAGTGAAATGTAACACTACACGAAGTAACGTTACCATTTTCACTATTTAATATTTATCTGTGTCCCTTGGGCTTGAAATCTTGAGCTCTTGTTCTTGGATCTGCAAGATAAATTATTCTTGAGTTGATGGAGGCTTGCTGCACACACCTGCGACACGATGGACACTTCACACTCGACAAAATAGAAAAAACACATGCGACACACAAACGACGACTTGACATACGAGTTGTAAAAACTCGCTAATGTCTTGACCCACACAAACCACATTGTGATACACCATTCAAACATTCACACAAACACTGGATAGCAATGACATAGACTCACAATTCATTCCATGCCATGCATGCACACACACAAACAAGGACGACAAGCCGAGTGCAAGCCATAAGATTGCACC